ACTGGGCAGCTGCAGAAGACAAAGAGGATATGGCAACAAAAAATGGGGAACATTTGTCCCAGACAAACAGATATGACTTGTACCCAATCAGAAACCAATCTTACCTATAGGGGTTTAATTACCTATACTTTAAACATGTACATGAGCTAAAAATATGATTTCATGAAATAAACAATGTTACTGCTAGCTCTTAAAGTATATAGTAGATGTTCTATCTGTCCAAAGATAACACAAGTCTCAAGGACATTTTTCACTTCCTTTAGATCCATTTGAGGTATAGTAATTGGATCTTATCCTAATGCCACCACTACAAACATATAAATATGTTAGTTATGACTTGAGTGGGTTAAGGCAGTGGTCAGCAAATCGCGGCTCGTGAGATACATGCAGCTCTTTGGCCCCTTGAGTGTGGCTCTTCCACAAAATACCACTTGCGAGCGCGCACGTACAGTGCGATTGAAACTTTATAGCCCATGTGCAGAAGTTGGTTTTCGGCCTGGGCGAGTCTATTTTGAAGAAGTGGCCTTAGAAGAAGTGGGGGGTGGACATATAGAGAGGATGAACGAAAGGAGACAGAGAAACAAGTACACAAGACGAGTATGGGTGGGAGAGTTGGAAGGGGTCGACTTCAGCGAATGTACCTCAATCAGGATTGAGGACTTTTTAGCAAAGGCCAGCTTAGGAGCGCCCTAATGAAATTAATAACAATGTACCTACCTATATAGTTTCAGTTTAAAAAATGTGGCTCTCAAAAGAAATTTCAATCGTTGTACTGTTGGTATTTGGCTCTGTTGACTAATGAGTTTGCCGACCACTGACTTAGGAGAAAAACCCATGTAGACATCCTGGATCTGAGGAGAGAGACCACAGCCATCAGGCTATGGCTGTGTCTTGGCCAAAGGCCCCGGATGCCTGGTGTGATGCTGGTTTGTAGGAGGTGCCTGGTAAATGGCTGCTGAATGAATCAACAAATCCATGAATGGACTAAAACATTTGCCTGGAGAGCAGGAGACAGCAGGTGTGTAGGTAGGAACAATAAGGCCCCGCCAGCCCTAGCTGGTTTGGCTCAGTGGATAGAGCGTCAGCCAGTGGACTGAAGGATCCCGGGTTTGATTCCGGTCAAGGGCACATGCGTCAGTTGCAGGGTTGATCCCGGCCCAGATCGGGGCACATATAGGAGGCAACCAATTGATGTGTCTCTCTCACAATCGATGTTCCTCTCTGTCTCTCCCCCTGCATTGCACTTTCTCTAAAAGTCAATTGAAAAATGTCCTAGGGGCTGGCCAGCCGGCATGGCTCAGTGGTTGAACGTCGACCTATGGACCAGGAGGTCATGGTTCAATGCCTGGTCGGGGCACATGCCCAGGTTTCGGGCTGGATCCCCAGTGTGGGGCGTGCAGGAGGCAGCCGATCAATGATTCCCTCTCATCATTGATGTTTCTCTCTCTCTCTCCCTCCCTCTCTCAAATCAATAAAAATATATTCTGAAATCAATAAAAATATGTTTTTAAAAATATCCTCAGGTGAGGACTAATAAAAAATAAATAAGGCCCAGCCAGTCTCTGCCTAGTTAACACCGGAAGGCTTCCTGGAGGCGGTGGCCCTACCCGGCATTCTAAACAAGGGGCTCCTGTTCGGAACACCCCCCAGGAAGTCATTTCCCAGAAGCTGTACAGACGCTCTGACCCCCTCGGGTCCACACAGAGGCTGTGCCCATCATGTGGCCCTGACCATTGCCTCCCCCGCCCCCCTCACAGGGTGTGAAGGAGTTCAAGTGCGAGGTGTGTGGCCGGGAGTTCACGCTGCAGGCGAACATGAAGCGGCACATGCTGATCCACACCAGCGTCCGGCCCTACCAGTGCCACATCTGCTTCAAGACCTTCGTGCAGAAGCAGACCCTCAAGACCCACATGATTGTACACTCGCCGGTGAAGCCATTCAAATGCAAGGTACCCAGCCCGCAGGCCCCAAGACGGGCCTGTCCCTGGGCAGCCTGGAGTCGGCAGGACTGCGGCAGCGGTGGCCTGGCCAGGGCGGGCACGTCTGTATGCAATGCATACAGTCGGCGCTGGGCCCGGGCTTGGGGGAGATGGGAGTGGGTGGTGCGGTTCAGATCTTACAAGCTGCTGAAGCTGTGTTTCCTGAGAGTTGTGGAGTTGGGGGGGCAGGGGGATGAAGGTCAAGGTGCAGCCACAGGGAGAGAGCCCAGGCTGGGGACCTGGTGCAGCAGGAGATCTGAACTCTGGGTTTCTTTATTTTTTTAAAATATATTTTATTGATTTTTTACAGAGAGGAAGGGAGAGAAATAGAGTTAGAAACATTAATGAGAGAGAAACATCGATCAGCTGCCTCCTGCACACCCCCCACTGGGGATGTGCCTCCAACTCAGATACATGCCCTTGACCGGAATCGAACCCGGGACCTTTCAGTCTGCAGGCCGACGCTCTATCCACTGAGCCAAACCGGTTTCGGCCGAACTCTGAGTTTCTAACCAGGAACAGTGTCCGGTGAGGAGGCTTAGCTCCCTGCCTCTCAGGGGTCACATAGGAAAGAATGAAACCGGTGCTGGCCGTAGCGGGTGGGACCGCAGCCCGGCCAGGGAGGTGGGCGGTGGCCGGGGTTCTGGAGGGCAGACCCCCTGTGGGCTGACGGCGCCCGTGGTCTGTTCTCAGGTGTGCGGGAAATCCTTCAACCGCATGTACAACCTGCTGGGCCACATGCACCTGCACGCGGGCAGCAAGCCCTTCAAGTGCCCCTACTGCTCCAGCAAGTTCAACCTCAAGGGCAACCTGAGCCGGCACATGAAGGTCAAGCACGGGGTCATGGACATCGGCCTGGACAGCCAAGGTGGGTGGGCCACGCGCAGTGGCCGGACCAGGAGCGGGACTCTAACGGCGCACGCTGGAGCCTCCTGTCCCGTTCGGGGAGGCGGGAGGCTGGCCAGGCCTGAGACCTCGCTGGGGTGGGCTCAGGTCTGGAGAGGGGGCCCCCTGGAGGGCCCCGGTGGTGACGACGGGATGTTCGTGTATCCTTCAAAGGATTTAAGCCGGCTCACGTAAACCGTATAATAAAAAGAATGCCGTTTATTGAGTGCGAACTGTGTGCCAGGCCTTTATTCGCTCACGTGACCCTGAAAGTGAGGTTGGCTCTGTGGTTATCGCCGCCATGTTACCGATGCGGACGGTCAAGGGCAGAGACGTTAGGTAACTCGTGTCAAATCGCAACACGTGGGAACGATACTGTCTCTCGTTACTGAGAGATGACGTAAAATAAAGGGGCGGGAAGGAAATTATCAAATGGGAAAATGGCATCTGGGGAGAGAAGGGGAAGCCAGGTGAGGTCCCGACGCCACATGCACCGTGGGAAGTCTGGCGGGCCGGCAGAAGGGAGCACTGAGCTTCCCGGCAGCCAAGGCAAAAAGTGCAATTGTCCTCATGGGCCCAGGATGGCCGCCCAGGGCCTTCAGGGCAGTGCGCTTCCTCCTTCACACCCAGTGGGAGAGGAAGAGCCTGTTCCCTCTTTGCTCTGTGAAGCCAACAAGCACATTCTGAGGACTCACAGGGCAGCCTTTCCTAAGAGTTCATTGGGCAAGGGGTGGGCGGGGTTTGCCCCTAGACCTGAGGTTCTCAACAGAGCGTGGAGTTACCCCCAAGGGATGTTTGGCCCGTGTTGGGTTGTCACAACTGGGGTGATGCTACTGGCATGGAGCTGACGGGGGCCGGGGATGCCGCTAAACATCCTACAATGCCCAGGATGGGCCCCCCAACAAACAATGATGGCCCCAAATGTTAGTTGGGCTGGGGTTGAAAGCCCTGCCTTAGACTTAGCAGGGTACCCCAAACACTTCCATGTCCGAGGTGGGCAGGGGCAGAATGCACACTAAGCCCCAGCCCTGGTGGCCACCCTCCCGGGGTCCCCAGATCATCCCCCGGGCTCCCCTCTCCCACCCCCCCGCCCCCTCCCGTGACTCACTGGAAGACAGCCCGGGCCTCCTGTGTGTTTTCTGTCCGGCTCTTGTTCCGACAGTAAGAGCATCAGAATAAGATTTCGGTTGGATAAAATTACAGGCCTCTTAGAGCTTTTGCCTCCTCCTCTGTGTTAGCCTTTCCTGGGGGGGTGTTTGTCCTTGGAGAGCAAGGCCCGGGGAGAGCATTGGGTAGAGCTGGCTTCAGGCGCAAATGCTGGCCCTGGCCGGGCAGCTCAGTGGGTTGGAGCCTCATCCCGACCCCAAGGTTGCGGGTTCAATCCTCAGTCAGGGCACATGTAAGAAGTAACCCATGAATAAGGGGAACAACACATCGATGTTGCTCTCCCACTCAAATCAATAAAATAAAATAAGAAGCATCCATGCTACAGGAGGTCAGAGGATGAAACCGGCAGCACTTGCCGGGTCCCCCTGGCAAAATGACGAACCACTCTGACCTGCCCTTTGGCCTCCTAACTGGGGCCGCTGTGAGCAGTGCCCGGCATGCAGAAGGCGCTAAATGATTGCTGATGCCGAGAGGGGACACAGGGCAGCAAAGGGGACCGATGAGAAACACTGCAGAAGGGAAATACGTTGAGTGGCTTAGGAGAGACAGTAGAGGCCAAGGCCAGGCCTGCACCCCTCTACCCCCCCGCCCCCAACACACACACAGAGGGCTCAGGTCTGATGACCCATCAGAGTAGCCACAAGCGCCTGGGGCCTCACCGAGATCCTGTGGAAACAGTGACTGGGAAGTTCTTGGGCTTCCTATGTGGGGGTGATGGGCTCCTCCCGGGAGAGGTGGCGTGGGGGCTAACTGTGCCCCTGTCTTGCAGACCCCATGATGGAGCTGACGGGCACCGACCCCTCGGAGCTGGACGGCCAGCAGGAGATGGAGGACTTCGAGGAGAATGCCTACGCGTACGCGGGCGTGGACGGCAGCGCGGAGGCAAGCGTCCTCACCGAGCAGGCCATGAAGGAGATGGCCTACTACAACGTGCTATAGCAACGCTGGGCCGCCCGGCACCGGGGCAGGGGGGCCTGGGCGTGGGGGTGAGACCCGCGGGCTGCGGAGAATCGAGCTACTGCCCCACTGCCCGGAGCCCTCCCCCGACACGGAGTCGTTGGCACCACCAGGGACTTGTAGACCAAATGGACTGTACCACTGGCGTCAGCCGTGAACCTGGGCCTGCTGCCGTGGGAGGGTCGGGGAAAGGGACAGGGCACAGGGCACAGGTTCTCAGGGGTCCCCAGGCTCAGCAGTGCTGGGGCAGCCAGGGTGCGCACGGCTGGCCGAGCTGATGGCCCCGCAGGGCTCCTGACACTGGAATAGGGATCGCGTGAGCCAGGCCTGGTTCCCCCCCTGCCTGCCTCCAGGGATGTCGGGGCTCCCAGCTGGCCAGCACTGCCCGCCCATACCCACGAGCCCCCTGGCTGGGTACAGCCCAGGCCCATAGCCGTCTTCCCCACCCTGCCAATCGTCAGCCAGGCAGGCCACCGCCTTCTACCTCCCGGTGCCTCCCCAGCGCCCCCTGGAGCCAGGTGCGCATGCAGCCCCAACCTGGCCCGCGGGACAGCAGGGTGCAGCCCACCCCCAGGGAACGCCTTCTCCAGCCAATTCCCAGCAGGCCCCCTTCTTACCGCCCTAAGGTGGGTTTAGGCAGACGTCACCCGGTTCTGTCTTAGCTGGGGCACCACACACAGAGTGTCCCAGCTCAGGGTCCCCAATGCGAGCTGAGCCGGCCACGCCATGGTCCGGCCACACAAGGACAGGCCGAGGCCCCTTGAGGCCCCTTGAGCGAGGCTGCCTGGGCGCTGACCGGAGCACTGGTCTTATTTAAGGTGGAACAAGTATCCACGCTGAGGGCGGGACAGCCGAGTCTGCAGGCTCCCGGGAACAGCAACATTTAAAAGGAAAATGAAGACCATAGCGGAAAAAAAGATTTTTGGGGGGCGGGGGGTCTTTGGAAGGTAATTTATCTCATGCTTTTCCTTTTCAACTCTGTGTCGCCTATAACCTTTTCTGATGGAGACAGTTTTCTTCTTCCCCAATGGAAGCTTTTTCGTGTGCCCCCAGCCTGGAGCCACCTGGCCTGGTGAAACTGG